ACTGTGCAGTAGAACATTGGTTCAATATTGTACATATTCTAAATATTTTATACATTTGTACATATAGCATTAAAATATTATTTATTACATATGAATTATATATATAGCATTAAAAAACTGGCTGGAGGGCTGGGCCCAAAGAGTTGTGGTGAATGGAGTTAAATCCAGTTAGCGGCCAGTAATAAGTGGTGTTGACCAGGGCTCAGTCCTGGGGCCAGTTGTTGAAAATCTTTATCAACAATCCGGATGAGAGAATCAAGAGCACCTTCTGTAAGCTAGAAGATAACACCAAGTTGAGTGGGGTTGTCGATCTGCTCAAGGGTAGGTAGATTCTGCAGAGGGACCTGGACAGGCTGCATCGATGGGCCAAGGCCAACTGTATGAGGTTCAACAAGGCCAAGTGCCGGGTCCTGCACATTGGTCACAAGAACTCCATGCAACGCTACAGGCTTGGGGAAGAGTGGCTGGAGAGCTGCCTGGTGGAAAAAGACCTGGGGATACTAGTTGACAGCTGGCTGAATATGAGCCAGCAGTATGCCCAGGTGGCCAAGAAGGCCAGTGGCATACTGGCTTGTATCAGGAATAGTGTGGCCAGCAGGAGCAAGGAAGTGATCGTGCCCCTGTACTAGGCACTGGTGAGGCTACACCTTGAATACTGTGTTCGGTTTTGGGCACCTCACTACGAGAGGGACATTGAGGTGCTGGAGCATGTCCAAAGAAGGGCAATGAAGCTGGTGAAAGGTCTAGGGCACAAGTCTGATGAGGAGCGGCTGAGGGAATGGGGTTGTTTAGTCTGGAGAAAAGGAGGCTGAGGGGAGACATTATCGCTCTCTACAACTGCCTGAAAGGAGGTTGCAGCAAGGTGGGTGTTGTTGGTCTCTTCTCCCAAATAACAAGCAATAGGGCAGGAGGAAATGGCCTCAAGTTGCACCAGGGGAGGTTTAGTTTGGACATTGGGAAAAATGTCTTCACCAAAAGGGTTGTCAAGCATTGGAATGGGCTGCCCAGGGAAGTGGTTGAGTCCCCAGCCCTGGTGGTATTTAAAAGATGAGTAGACGAGGTGCTTAGAGGCAGGGTTTAGTGGTGGGGTTGGCAGTGTTAGGTTAACGGTTGGACTTGATGATCTTAAAGGTCTTTTCCAACCTAAACAATTCTATGATTAATTTTATGTATGTGTGTGTGTGTGTGTATATATATATATATATATATATATATAAAAAATACTTTTTCTTAATATTCTCCATAAACATTTGCTGGATCTTTACTCCATATCAAAACAAAGAAACTAATAATAATCAAATCCCCAACAATCTTTCATTATCTTTTTTGTTATTTTCTTCATGCTTTATAAGCCAATTACTCTCTTTTGTAATATATAGTTTGTGCTTCCTCTTCCAGTTACTGAAAAATGAACAGTAAATTCACTCAGCAGTGTGAGTAAAAAAATGAAAGTAGGGATATGTGGGCGTGAAACTTTCTTTCCATTTGATTCTAAAATAATTTTCAACACCTTATAACTCTTCCCCTATCCTCAAATTATGAATTCAGTTTCTGTAATCCTGCTGGGGATGTGACCTCAGTGACCAAGATACACTATTTCAGATAAGCCAAGTTTTCTCCTTGTGGAGTTTCCAGACCAGCAAATGCCACAAATCATCTCTCTCATTCTGTATTTCACGTTATGTTTAACAATGTGTCCAATCCAATTCTTCTGAGTGCCTAAAAACACAGCAGATAATGAAATTCTTCTGACTATTGCACCACAAGCTTATGTTTGGTTTGGTTTAAAAAAAGAAATGAAGAAAAAGTTGTCTGAGACTTAGTCAGATAGCCATCATTTAGATTGGTTTTTTCATTATTACCTAAGTGTGTGCTACATAATAAAGATGTTTTTGGCTATGCCACTTTTAGTAAACTGAGAATTTTGCTTACTATCCATTTCGTAAGTAGCTTACAACAGATTCAAAAATCTCATGTCTGAAGTAAAAAGAAAACAACTGTTCTCTCACAAAAAAAGCTTAACCTTTTAGCCTGAAAAAGCAGTGAAAGAAAATCTGATAACAAGAAAGACAACTGTGCTGCCTGGTCAATCCCCACTAATCCATCAAATGAAATCTTGTCAGAAGAGCAACTTTTTTTTCTTCTTGAAATATTTATTTTTCTTTCTCTTTGTTTCAGATTTCAAGTGCAAAGACTGTATAAAATCAGATAAGACTTGGTGGGGTTGGTTCCTTCTTCTTGGATACGCCATCATTGTCACCACAGTTATCATAGCTTTTGGTGTAAGTAATATTTTCAGAAATAAATACTACAAACCTAAAGATGGGTGGCATCTTCTGACGGAAAGAAATGATAAGCAGATTAGCCTGAACACGGACCTGTGTCAAAGAAAAAGTCACTCTATTTTCTGTTAAGTAAAGTTAGAGGTATAACCCCCTGCCTGTGAATGTTTTGAGGGCATGGCCATGAAAAAAAATAAAAGGAAGCTGTGATATATACAGAAGTTATATCTGGGGGTTTTTTGAGCTTTCTGACAACTGGGAAGCTTTTTTCTGTGTTGCTGGCTGAACTTTTTACTTTTACTTGGAAACAAAAAAGAATGAGAAAAAAAATCACCTAATCAATTAGCAGTTTGAAACACATCCTGCTCCCTCCATGCTTCTGGGCTCCAGCTACTAATTTCATGAGCTCGCCTGGATACACATCAACGCCTGCTCATCTTTTGTCTTACTCTTGTTCTGGCCAAGCAATCAGTCATTCCAGGGTTTTATGCCCACTCCCACCCACTAGTTGGTACAGACCACTGCCTGACATTTACCTGGCCAGCAGTAAAGGACCCTGGCAACTTGAAAATATTTTGCGAGAGAAGGAGAAAACATTTTTTTGGATAGAAAATTGTCCAAGCCCAGTGTGGTTTCTTAGGCTTCCCATGTTATTTTAAAAATGCTTCCTTCTTTCCTGGTTGTGGCTCTGTTCCCCACTTGAGGAAAAATTTCATAATAATTTTAATAAACTATTTTTTATGGAATCAAAACCTAAAAAAACAGTTTTTAATGAATGGCTCTACTTTGATCCTACTTGGGAATAACCTTTATGTAGATGTAGTAATTTGGAAGGAAATAAACATGAGCTGAAGAAATCTGAGCTATGCTATAACTCGATACAAATAGTATCATGGTCATGAAGGCATGAATTGTGCTACACTCATGCCTATCCCTCAACAGTACAGTGTGCCCTGCTTATGTTTACAAGGTCCTTACTTGCAAGTAAGGTTATCATTTATAGGAGACCTGAAAAATTCCTTGTGCTTCCCCAACAATATCTCTTGTCAAAACGCTGTTGTAGAGTTCCTTAAAAGTTAACAAATGCAGGCTAATTGGACCAAGAGGGAATAGGTACCAAACTTAATGGGCTTAGAGGAAGAAAAATTTCACCCTTGAGGAATCAACATGGTTGTAAACCGGTATCTATTCTAAGTCCCAAAAGATGGATCTTCCAGGTAGCCAGGTCCTGACTGTAAGGCAGGGTTTCCTTTACCTCATCTTCTCTTTCTCAGCTTGTGCAGTTTAAAGGGGCTACTTCACTGTCACTGAACCTGGCACGGTGGCAACAGGTCCCTCCGCACTGATACCACTGCACAGCCAAGAACTTTGTTATTATATAAGAGTTATCTCCAGTGACATAAGTTACAAGACTTACAAAGACATTAAGGGTACCCGGTTGCCCTTCCAGGTTAAGTAAGGTTTGGGTTTTGTTATCTTTAACAACCAGTTGTTCAGTACTGTTACCTCAGAGACACATCAAAACCAGAAAAGTTCACACAGTTCAGGCATGCATATTTAGGGAGACAGTAAACTCATACCAGAGGTGTAAACAGTCAAATCTGGCTAAAATTCAGTAGCAGCAGAAGCCTGACAGAAGATGTTTCACATCTGAATATACCAAGTGAGCCAGCCTAGTCTCTCCTAAAATGATTCATTTTGAGCAAAATCAAGCACTAGCAAACTCTACTTGGGTGTGGCTGGGATGAAGTTTAACTTTCTTCATAGCAGCGCACATGGGGCTGTGTTTCAGACTTGAAGTTAAAACAGTGTTGAAACACACCAACATTTTGGCTGAGCAATGCTTGAATGGCATCAAGGCTTTCTCTTTTTCTCACTCTGCTGCCCCAGTGAGTAGGCTGGGGTGGGCAAGAGTCTGGGAGGGGACACAGCCAGGATTGATTACCCCAGCTGACAAAAGGGATATCCCGTATCACCTAATGTCATGCTCGGCAATAAAATCTGGGGTAGGGGAAGAAGGAAAAACAGGCTTTTTTGCTTCTGAGGTGATCATTGCTCAGCGATGGGCTGGGCATTGGTCCACTGGATGGAGGTGGTGAGTGATTTCCTCTACAGCAGTTGTTGTTTTGTTCTGTTTCTTGTTTTCCTCTCTCCTTCACTGTTAAATTGTCTTTATCTTGACCCATGATGTTTTTTGCTTTTGTTCTTCATATTCTCTCTCCAGTCCCACTGTGGATGGGGGAGTGAGTGACCAAGCAGGTCTGCAGGTGCTCAGCTGCTGGCTGGGGTCAACCCACCACACAGACGGACACTGAAATTTATAAAGTTAGGAAGTTTATAACTTTTAAATGTTATTCCTTTACTAAACAACAAATATTTCCTGTCATGTAAAAGTACACTGTGTCAAAATTAGAAAGTGGGACTAGAAGACTCAAAGGCCCTTTGGCCCTTACAGGCCACTGCTTAAATCCAGTGTGTCATGGCTGGTTAAATCCTTTAGGGAGCTTCTGTATGGACCTGTTAACCTCGAGAAGAGGTCTGACCTGCCTTTCCTGAGTCTAAAGTCCTCACAGCTGTTCCCTTGCTTCTTACTCCTGTCAAACTTTTCCTGTGCTTCCAAGGCCAGACTAGGGCACAGCAATGTGCTATCCCAATGACACCTGCATGACAGTTGTTCCTGTTTTATAGAGAAAACATTACCAGTGGTTTGTAATGGATTCTCCCCAAAAGAAGACACCTACCTATCTCATCTACGCTCAAAAAAATTTGTTTATGCTATGTAAGGATAAAGAATGAATGAAAATGTCTCTCCCCCCATTCCCATGCTCTATTTTTTCTAAAGTAACAGCACACATACATCTTCAGAGATAGCGTTGGGATTGGGGAAGTATTCAATGAAATCACTGGTATACAGATGGACACACTTCCTGCCTATTTTTTGAGTACAATATGAAACAACCTGTAAAGGCTTCGAATTCAGCATGTAAGAAGCTAATCCACTGAAATAAATTAACACTGTTTGGTATTAGTTCTTACTCTTATTTTCAACCAAAGTGTATGATAATTGTTCTGCTGTATCATAATGGCCCACATCTGACCACTTATAAGTTAGAACTGGATAAGTTATAAAACAATAACTACATAGGTATTAGTATCTTAGCTTACATATCACTAAAATTTATCATTATTATTAATGATGAATAGTCTGTCAATTCATGAAGGTGCAGTTAAAATTAGCATTTCCATGTTTCATTCTGACTGTGATATGCATAACAACTTTGGAACATTTCAGAATAAATGTTGGATTGCTATTGGATGTTCTCTGAAAAGATGGGGTATCTGATGGAAACGTTTTTACTGCTTAACAATATATTTTGTGGAATATTGCAACAGATTCACCAGTGCTGTAAAAAGTGCAAGAATGAGTCAAGAAATACAGATAGCAGTGCTACCCTGCCAAGTGAATGGACTTATGACCAGCCATCCAGACCAGTTAATAATGGGTTTAATCAAGAATACGAAGATATGTCACTAATAAGAACTTTAGGTGACATTGAAAGGAAAATGATATGAACAACAAGGTCCATGCAGTTGTAACCAAGATATGAGCATGTGTGCTGTGTGCTACTTCTATCAAGGTAGAAAAGAAACATACACACAAATCACTTAATTAACTTGGAATGGTTTTTGTTCAAATCACCACTCCATGAAGCTACAAATTAAATGTGCTTTATTGTACATAACTATAATCAAAATAGTGAAAAAGCTAAAAGTATTCCAACTCTTTTCAATGCAAACAGATCTGACCACGTATACTGATTTTTTTCTACTTCAAACACAAAGACACAGTTGTAATTTTGTTTTTACCCAGGTTAAGACAGCTTCTTTGCTTTATAAATGCAATTCTGTAACACATTCTCTATCCACTGCAATGGCAGATTTAAAGAAGAGTTTTTCAGAGAGGAATTCCTCACATGCTCCTAGTGTACTGTCTGACCTTATTTCTAACTCCTTACATCCCTCATGTTTACAAATGCCTGCAACTTCTTCCACTCTTAGCTATTTAGCCAGCTATGCCATTCATGTAAGGCATATTAATGAGTTTTTAAACATTGTAATTTACACGCTTTCTGAAGAAACATTAATTACTGAACTAATCTTGACAGGTAGATAGGCTACATAAATAAAAGTTTTTCGCTGTAGGGCTTATCCTTACTGCTTATGTGACATATCTAAGATTGTAATATAAAGTATTTGGATTAAAAAAGTGTCTTTTAAACTTGTTTTAAAGTGCTTGGAATACTTGTGGAATCTATGTAAATAACAATAAATCTAAGCTGCACAAAAAGAGCTTATAATTTGCATAGTAATGCAGTACTTGAGGAAGTGTTCCCTTGGTTTAGTTATGTGTGTGTGACTTGAAGGAAATTAATACTTTGACAAAGTATTTAAATTCTTGAAAATTATTTTTTTCCTTTTTTTTCCCCCAATTGAATATTGTATTTCAAATTTGTTCACCACTGAAAATATATTATGTGAAAGGAAATGGTTCATAGAATAACATGACAAAGATTACAGCCTTATACATTAATTGTACAATACTTCTAAGAAGTGAGTAAACTCTGTTCACTTAAAAAGGGACAGCAAGTCATACAGTTGACACTCAGGGCTGGACATTAAGAATTGGATACTCACTGCTAGCTGGATTCAGCTTCAACTTCATCACTAGCCCCTTTTTCTAAAATATTCCTTGTTCTATCAGTAAAGATGCCAAATAATTTTCATTTAAGAAACTGATCTGAGCATTTGATTCCTTTTGGTGAAAGTGCTGGGTAATACACTTAGAAAAAGTGAAATTTGACTTTCAGAGGGGCAGACAGACTGTGCTTGAGCATTTGAAGACAAGGAGGATGACCATGAAGAATCTTCTCTAATTATTATTTTTTTAATTTGGACAGTGGGAATTAAACAATGGTCTTCCTTCCTCCTTTGCCTAAACTGGAAATTGCCTGCATCTGCAGTCATACAGATTTAGGTTTCCAGAGTCAGTAAATCAAGCTGTAATTATGGATGTAAACATGTATGAACTCACTTCCAATGAAACTATCTCTTCAAAAGCACTTCAGTTTTCCTATTTTAAGATTTTTAAAATAATAAAATCCTCATTGCATATAATACATGTCTAACTCTTACTTTTAAAGTTAAAGTTAGAAATTGGGTTAAATATTAAGGGGTTAAATACAGGGAATATTTACACTTTTAACATAGAGCATTAGAGGAGAGAAAAATAGTGATTCCATCCTTTAAAATGTGAGGCATGAAGTTCATCTGAGCCAAAGATACAGTTTTGTGAAGAGAAGAACTGAAGGCAGCAGTCACTGAACCAAAGTCACCTTCAAGTACAAGAAGCACAAAGAGGTCAATGCATTCAGTGAAACCTTCCAGCTCTGGCATTTTGGCAAAAATGACAAGAATTCATACCTAATCTAGCAGACATAACTTAGAAGGTGCATTTAAAAAGCATCTCATTCGGATAACTCATGTACTCGAAGGGTGCCGTTTTCTTTCCACTTTACAACACTGCCTCCACTTCAGATCAATGGCCCTTCAAATGAAGGTCAGTGTGATTTCTGCACTTTTTTACAGGCTTCTCAGAAACAGCTGAGCTATTTTCTACATAGTGTTTCCACAGAAGTTGGACATAAGCTTCCAGTCTGAAAGGTTAAATACTCAGAAAGTTCGGGGGGGCTGAAAAACAGTAGTAAGTAATATGTTCCATCATCTAACACCAACAGCACAAGGATAAAAACACATTATTTGTTATGTTGTAGTCAGCAAGGTCATGGATTTTTACGGCAGCTTAGCACAGAATTAAACATTGGGACTGAATTCAGAATGAGTTTACAACACAAACAATTCTTAATATTAGACATGTGAAATTAACTTTTTTCTATTTATAGTTCTTTTGTAGAAAGTGCACATTGTAGTGTTAAGAACATTGACATTTATACGAAATGCTCATCCTACAGTAAGTCAAAGAATCACAGAACCATTGGTTAGAGGGGACCTCTGGAGATCATGTATTCTAATCCCCTACTTGAGTAGGGTAAGATAGAGCTGGTTGCACAGGACCATGTCCAGATGGCTTTTGAATATCTACAAGGAGGAAGACTCTACAATGTCTCTGGGCAGCCTGTACCTGTGCTTGGTCAATCTCACAGTAAAGAGTTTTCCGATGTTCAGATGGACGCTCCGGTGTTTTAGGTTGTGCCCATTGCCTCTTGTCCTGTCACTGGGCACCACTGAAAAGAACCTGTCTCAGTCTTCTTCATTTCTTCCCATCAGGTATTTATACAAATTGATATGAACCCCCTGAGCCTTCCCCAGGCTACATAGTTCCAGCTCTTTCAACCTCTCACATGTCAGATGCTCTGGTCCTTAATCACCTTTGGGGGCTTGCAGCAGACTTACTCCAGTAAGGTCATAACTTTTTGGTACTGGGGAACCCAGAACTGGACCCAGCACTCCAGATGTGGTCTAGGAGTATAAACGAAGGATCACCACCTTCAAACTGCTGGCAGTGCTCTGCCTAAGGCAGACCAGGATACTTTTGGCCATCTTTGCCATGAAGGCACATCTCTGGCTCATGGTCTGGTTATTGTCCCCAGTATCCGCAACTCCTTCTGTGCAAAGCAGATGCAGGACTTTGCACATCCCTTTGTTGAACTCGATGAGATTCTCTTCAGCCCAGTTCTCCAGCCTGTCCAGGTCCCTCTAGACCACATTTGTATCTTCAATTCCAAATTAGTTGAGACAGGAACCTTAAGTTCATGACCTACTATATGAAGGACGGAGTCTTAGGCCCCCAGGAACTGGAGACAGAACTCCTCCTAATTTTAGTAGGACTCAAGTCTACCTTCAAATGCCTTGAATATATACTGTGACAGGAAACATTTAGACAAGCTAAAGGAAAACAGTAACTGCAACTGCAACTTTCAATTACTTCATCTAGTATTAAGGATTATTAAATATATGCTTAGCTAGGAGTTTAACAGTAATTACAGATTTCAAGATGTGTTGTGCATAAATACATTTAGAGTGGAGAAAACTGGTCTGAAAACACTTCACAGAATTTTTGGATGCCAGAAAAATGTGTATAGTAATAGCGTGTATGCCATACAGTTCCTGGTTCTAGAGAAGGGAACAGAAGGAAGGGAAAAAGGATTGAAATTGATGTTCATGTGAAGAGTGAGATACGACAAAGGATGGGTATTGAAGTTCATACAAAGAACGGATCTTGAAGCTATAAAGTGCCAGTCTAGGCAAAAGACATTCATAGAGTACCTACACCTGGATGAGGAGAGTTACTGCTTAGCCTAGTAGTCCCAGCCAATTACTATTTGTATTAGCCAGTAAAATAATTGTTGCATACTTACAGTGATCTGAATTTCCAGTCTTCACACACAAAAGTGACCAAAGGTTTGAAGGTCAGAGCAGAGTTCAGAGTCTTTTTAGGAAAACAAGCGCTGCTAGAAAAGGCAGAATTACTCCTGAATATCCTAGATAGGGCCTTAACACATTCAGATAGAAATTCATTGCACTTCTGAAAAATGGAAAATTATGAAACTCAAGCACGCAAGCATTAATTGAATGCAACATCCTAACCACT